CCTGCAATGCATCAACAAGTGGAATATTTATTTGAACTTTAGTAAATATCTCACAAAATTTGGCATATTGTTCGTCAATTTTTTTCTTTGCAAAACGTTGAGGAAAAGGTAAAGGAATATTAGGAGTACAAGTGTTAGAAGTAGATATTGGCTTCTCAGCCCCTGTAATTGACGATTTTGGGGGCTCCACTACTACTTCCTCAACTTCTTCCTCTTCCTTGCTTTCCTCATGCACGACTCTTTCCGGCTCATCAGACGGCATCCTCGGGCCCTCATACTCCATGCCACTCCTCAGACGAATGGCTTTGCACTGCTCCTTCGAATTCACCTCTGTGTTGCTCGGAAATTGTCCCTTCTGATGTTGACTCCCAACTGCCGTGGCCACTTGCCCAATCTGCTGCTGCACCGACTTCAGTTGATTCTCTATTGACACAAAACGTGCGTCATTCGCGCTCAGTAATTGTTTTGTCTGGTCCACAAATGACTGTGTGCTAGTCATGAATGAAGCTAACACATCTTCGATTGGTGGCTTCTTTGGCTCATTGATGACCCCATTAGTCACCGAAAATCCCGGGGGTGGCTGTAGAGCATTATTCGGATTTGCATACGAGAGATTGGGGTGATTCCGGTTGCCTTGGTAATAAGTGTTGCCCGCTTGAGGCCCTCGAAAATTCCCAAAATTTCGATTATTCACATAATTCACATCCTCGACCGGTTCTCCAACTCCTACGCTCTCAGTCTTCACTCCTTGCAAGTTATTCATCAACAATGCCACTACATTAGCCGCAATAGATGACGCTGAGTCCGTCTCATTAGTCGCCGCGACCCTCCTAAGCATAGTCCTCTCAACCGGCCATTGATAGCTATTCGAAGCCATCTCCTCAAGAATCCGCTTTGCGTCATTTGGTCGCCTTCCCAAGAGAGCACCTCCAGCTGAGGCATCCACCATGGCCTTCATCGGGCCACTCAATCCATTGTAGAAGTAGCAAATCTGGTGCTCCTCCGAAAAACCATGTTGTGGGCACGTCCGAAGGAGTTGCGTGTAGCGCTCCCAAGCCTCATATAAAGGCTCGTTATCTTGTTGCTTGAATTGAGTGATCTCCGTCTGAAGTCTCAACATCTTACTCGGTGGGAAGAACTTCAAGAGAAATTTCTGACGCATTTCCTCCCATGATGTCACTGTCCCGGTTTCCAAAGAATTGTACCAAACCTTCGCCTTATCTCTAAGAGAGAAAGAGAAAAGGCGGAGGCGAATAGCATCCTCCGGGACTCCATTGTACTTCACAGTGCTGCATATCTCCAGAAATTGCGCCAGGTGCGCATTCGGGTCCTCGATAGCACCTCCCCCAAACTGCTCTTGCTGAACCATACGAATCAAGGATGGGCTCAACTCAAAAGTGTTAGCTGCAATTCTCGGCCCGTGACCTCCTCCATATACTTGGTCAGCTTGAGGTTGGAAGATGCTCCGGACCAGTGGTCCTGTCTCATGTTGAGCCTGCTGCTCGGCTAGCTGGCGTTGTAGCTCTGCCAGTTGCTCTTGGAGCTGTCTGTACCTCTCTTCACCTTGTTCCTCCATTGCACCTCTCAGTCGTTGTTGTAGTCTCCGGTTTGCGTTGTTCCTTCGGCAACAAACTTCAATCTCGGGGTTAAATTTTGCGGGTGAACTCCCACTAGACCTCGTGATCATGCAAGTACCTGTTAAAACACACAAACCAAAAAGGATGCAATTAAGAACCAACGTATAAAACAAAAACAAAAATGACTAAAGTAATATCTACCCTTCTTCTTCTAATATTAATCAATTCAACAAACAATCCCCGGCAACGGCGCCGAAAACTTGTTCGCAAAATATTTTCACTACCCGCAAGTGTACGGTATAGCTATAGTGAGTGGCGAGCAAGGTCGTATTCCACAGAGATTGTTGTCAAAATTAACCAAGTATCAAAATGTAAACGATTAAATATTATTTAGTCTAATGCAAATTTGAATGGTGATTTTATTCTAAACTAATGAATGATTGCAAAATAAATTCTAACACTATGAAGGCTTGTTCTAAGATAAATCGAGAATGAGAAAATAGATTCTAGGCTATGCTTTTCTCGGGATTATTCTAACAAAGATTAATTATTCATTCAAACCTTATTTAATTCTACCATTCGTAGGGATAATCGCTAAAGTAATTTACACCTTTCTCTCGAACAAGTTAAATCGTAGATATTAATTGTTATCTATCTCCTCTCGGTCTCAAGATGAACAATCAACTCCCATAAACTCCTAAGATTCTAGTTCCCTCGCAAGATTCTATCAACCTCTCGGTCTGTTTAGTCCCTTATGTTATGAATTTCCCAATTCTATCAATTAACTATCTCCTCTCGGTCTCAAGTCAATCACAAATATGCATAAATACGGGCCCTTATATTCACACAATAAACAAAAGCACAAGAAATTGATAAACGAATGATAAACCGGAATGAATAAACAAAATCACTTCATAAAATAATCCGAGTACTCGCAAATCCTAGAATCCCTAAAAGGTTTAGCTACTAAACATATTTTCAAAACTCAAAATAAATATATTCATGAGTTCAATGAAGAAGAAAAAGAGAAAAGAAAGAAGAACTATTGTCGCCGTTATTTCCCGGATCTTCAATCTTGACTTCTTCGAATCCCTCGTGTGTTTCGTGCTTTCTTTAGGCCTCCAATGGTGTCCAAAGTCCCAAAAACGAGTTCCTAAGGCCTCTTTTATACTCTAGGATCATTCAGGGTCGAAAAAGGGAAGAAAACGCGTAAAAATCTTATTCCCCGCAGGTTTGGTCTGCGCGTCACACGAGTCGTGTGACATGCCACACGAGTCGTGTGACTTTTGTCCAATTTTCGGCAAACTCCCAGACTCACACGAGCACTCACACGACCGGGTCACACGAGTCGTGTGAGGCCACACGACTCGTGTCCCAACCCACACGACTCGTGTGAAAATGCCGTAGCTTCATCTCTTGTTTCTTCAACCCACACGACCCGTGTCACTATCAACACGATTCGTGTGACCTCTTCTGCACCCGTTTTCGCCGTTTTTCGTCCCGATTCCATCTCCAACGCATTTCCGGGCATATTTCCTGCAAAAACAACGACAAAAACACCTCTATCATAGTTTAATAAATAAAACGAAATGGTGCACAATCACACGATAATCATGGACAAATATCACTATATATCACTCATAATGCATGAAAATATGATGAATATCAACTGCTTTTTTTGCTGTTGGTAGACTGTTTTTGTTTATTTTTCGTGGTGTTTCCGGGAGTAACTGACTAGGTTCTTCTAGTTTAGTTGCTTTTTTTGTTGCTTCTTTAGCGTAGTGATGAAAATCATGCTTTCTTTTTTAGTGCTTTTGTTATTGGCAAATACAAGCTTTCTCATCCTTTTTTTGGATAGTTTCTTTCTTTCGCTTTAGGACACTAGTCCTTAGTGTGTCTCCAGTCTATTTCTTGACAGTACTTTTGAGCTACTTAGCCTCAGATGTACTTTTTTGTTGAGTTATAATATATATCTTGAGAAATGCTATAGATACATAATATTATACACAGGGCTGTACATAACACTCACATTGAGTGGGACCCATAAAAAATAAAAATCAAGTGAACCCCACTCCATGTGAATATTATGTACACCTTTATGTACATTCATTATGTACTTGTAGCATTTTTCATATATCTTTTTTTTTTTTTAAAAAGAAGAAGTATTCGATTATTCACTTCCACTACAAGAAAAAGATGAAATTCCAACGGAAATGTATTCCAATAGAGTTATTCTAACTGCAATTCCAATGAATATTTCAATGCGATTATTTCCGTTGAAATTTTTCAATAGATTCCATCGAAAATTCTAACAAAAGTATTCCGTTGAAATGAGTTTTCCATTGCAATTTTCATTGGATTTTTACGATTCCAACGGTAGATTTTCCAATGGCTATGGAAATAAAAATTCCAACAGAAATTCCTACGGTAGAAAGCCGTTGAAAATATAGCCGTTGGAATCATCAAATTCCATAAAAAATTCCAATGAAAAACACATTCTAACGGAATATTTTCCGTTGAAATTTATGTTGGAATCATTCCAACGGAAGCTATACCATTAGAATATCTGTTGAAATTTCTATTAAAATATACTACCTTATAATTTTCCGAAATATAATATTTTTTTTTTTTGTAGTGTTCATACCATAATTTATTTCAGCACGCATTTTCGATCCCGATACCTCACATATTCAAAAAGTTTGATTCTTTAAGATTAGTAGTTTGAAAAACTTTCTTATCTTAATAATTACAGACTATTCGTAAAAAGTATTGCTTTTTTTTTTTTGGTACAATGAACCTTCCGGTTTCCGAATCCCTTAGGGGACCGACTAATCCGGAATCGAGCCGGGTAGGACCACAAGGGCGGCAAAGCTCTACCTCAAGAGTTTTAACACAGCTGCATTCCCAGGGCTCGAACTCGAGACCTCTGGTTAAGCTGGGAGAAACCCCAACCATCTCACCCACGTGCTCTTGGGTAAAAGTATTGCTTTTTAACTATACAACATAACGTTACAACTTACAATTTTTGTGAAAACGAGTGGAACTTTATTGACTGTAGAAATTCCAATACACCTGTTTTAACGCGTACCACTCAGACTTTTACCAATATTCGACCATTCCATCCATTGTCTCCTTAATTCAAGTCAAATTTTACACGTAGCTACCGCCATGGGACAATTTCTTCAACATTCAGTAGACAACTTTTTAGTTGCAAACAAAACTTAATTATCACGCCTATGATCAGTCCCATGTGTGATTCAATTCCAAAAAACATCTTTTTTTCCACTCAGTGACCACAATTGGCTCCAATAATTCACCCTTTATTCTTTTTGACATTTGCAACGAACACAAACACAAACAAACAAACATCAATCAAAGAGAAGAGTGAAAATAAAAAAAAAAAAAAGTTAACCAATTGCCATCATGGGCAAGGAACAACTCCATGTCCTGAACGCCCTAGACCTGGCCAAGACCCAATGGTACCACTTCACCGCCATCGTGATCGCCGGCATGGGCTTCTTCACCGACGCTTACGACCTCTTCTGCATCTCCCTCGTCACTAAGCTCCTCGGCCGCCTCTACTACACCCACCCTAACTCCCCTAAACCCGGCACCCTCCCACCCAACGTCCAATCCGCAGTCAACGGCGTCGCCTTCTGCGGAACCCTCACCGGCCAGCTCTTCTTCGGCTGGCTCGGCGACCGTCTCGGCCGCAAGCGCGTCTACGGCATAACCCTCACGCTCATGGTCCTCTGCTCCATCGCCTCCGGCCTCTCCTTCGGCCACCATCCAAAATCCGTCATGTCCACTCTCTGCTTCTTCCGCTTCTGGCTCGGCTTCGGCATCGGCGGCGACTACCCGCTCTCCGCCACCATCATGTCCGAGTACGCCAACAAGAAGACCCGCGGCGCGTTCATCGCCGCGGTCTTTGCAATGCAGGGCTTCGGAATCCTCGCCGGCGGCGCAGTCGCCATGGCCGTGTCCGCCGCTTTCCGAAACGCTTACCCGTCCCCCGACTACCAAACCGACCCGGTTAAGTCCACCGTCCCAGAGTCCGACTACGCGTGGCGGCTCATCCTCATGCTCGGAGCTCTCCCCGCGGCCCTGACTTACTACTGGCGGATGAAGATGCCGGAGACGCCGAGGTACACTGCGCTCGTGGCCAAGAACGCCAGGCGCGCGGCCGCGGACATGTCGAAGGTTCTCCAAGTCGAGCTTGAGGGCGATCACGAGATGGTCGACAAGATCGAAAATGGAAATGAGTTCGGGCTCTTCTCGAAGGCTTTCGTTCGGAGGCACGGGCTACACCTCGTGGGCACGACCACGACTTGGTTCTTGCTCGACATCGCGTTCTACAGCCAGAACCTGTTTCAGAAGGACATCTTCACGGCGATCGGGTGGATACCTCCGGCGAAGACGATGGGCGCGCTCGAGGAGGTGTACCGGATCGCGCGGGCGCAGACGCTGATCGCGCTCTGCAGCACGGTGCCCGGGTATTGGTTCACGGTGCTTTTCATCGACAGAATTGGACGGTTCGTGATCCAGCTCATGGGGTTCACGTGCATGACGATCTTCGTGTTCGCGCTCGCCATTCCGTACCACCACTGGACCATACCGGAGAATCGGATTGGGTTCGTCGTGATGTACTCGCTCACTTTCTTCTTTGCAAACTTCGGGCCAAACTCGACGACATTTGTGGTGCCGGCCGAGATATTTCCCGCCAGGCTGAGGTCGACGTGCCACGGGATATCGGCAGCTGCGGGAAAGGCGGGAGCTATAGTTGGGGCTTTCGGGTTTTTGTATGCGGCGCAGCCGAAGGACCCGAGCAAGAGGGACGCGGGGTACCCGGCGGGGATTGGGGTGAAGAACTCGTTGATTTTACTCGGCTGCATAAATGCTTTGGGGATGATTTTCACGTTTTTGGTGCCGGAGTCGAATGGGCGGTCGTTGGAGGAGATATCGGGGGAGAATGAAGAGGATAGTGAGATGGTGCGTTCGAGTGGCAGTGGAGAGATTAGGACAGTGCCGGTTTGATTGTTGTTATGTAATTAGTGAGATGTTTTACGAGATGGACGATAGTTAAGAACGTTTTGAGTGTGTGACTCTGGGGGTTTACATGATGGCTGGGATGTTGGTTAGGATTTGAGGACTTGGACTGTATAAGAAATCTTGTCTTGTCTTGGTGCAGTATTTTGTTCCTGTTTTGTTTTACTCTGTGTTTCTTGCTGTGAGTATGTGTTGCTTTGGTTTCGAGTAGTAGTGGTCTTTGAGTATTTAAGCACTGTTAGCTCCAAATGTCGTGCTATTGTTCTGAATTGTAGCTTGGTGTTCACTTTTGTAGAAAAGGACTTGAAATCTACAGCAGGATTTTTTTTTTTTTTCTTGATTTCTCATTTCCTTGGGACAGAACGTATTAGGCTTGTATACTACTTTGTTTGTTGCTGGTGGAATATGATTCTCCTTGGCTCGTCTGCAAGTCCCGACAACAAATTCCCAACTCCTTTCTGCCAAAACCAAGTTCTTATAGTTCGTATTCTTGAAGATCGTATCAATATCTATATAAATATATAAATGTTTGATATTTACCTCAAATAGTAGTAAAAATCTCGCCAAAAAATTTTAATGTTACTTTTATTAGTAACTTTTTAAAATATTTTTGAAAAGTGACGGCTAATTATTTGAAATTCAAATTAAAAAATCAATGTAATTAATGTGGAGAATCATTTTAGTTAAATATTGTTGCTATTACAAATCAAAGTAAATATATACTTGCCAAACCGTGATTTATGTATTTGGAAATTTACAATATTATGTTATATAGTGCTAAAAGGATTAATATTTATGTAAACATTTGGATAGTCCACGATTGAATTACCAGGAATTGACACCACTTTCCTAAATGTCTATCATATTTGTTTGCATTGTTTGTTTCCATTTCCCTTTTTATTTTTTTTGTTTTTTAGTTCATATTTTATTTTGATTAATGGATGCAATTATTTGATGATTTTTTATTTGGGTGTCAAACTTTGATTTCCAAAATTTATTTTTTTATATTATTCAAATTTTAAAGATAATTTTGTTTACTCTCATATGTTTATATTGATTACTTTTTTCTTTAGAGTAATTTTAGTTAAATAATTTCATGTTATTTTCGTAATAACTTTCTAAACTAAAAATTACAAAAGAACAATAGTTTAAAAATTTGAGGAATAATAATTAAGAGTATTTGAACTTTAAGAAAGTATTTTATAGATTTGATGAACTGACAAATTATAATTATTGTTAGCATTTATATTGTGAAAGGGATTAATTAATTAATTACAAAAAAGTTCATTTGCTTTTCTGTCAATCGAAACATGAGATATTCATTTTCTTCTAAAAACAAAGTTCATTTATATTGTTAAGGTATTTGATGACCATTTTTATTTGTGGTGGAAACTGATAAACACATAAAACAAAGGCTGAAACGGATAAGACAATTTAAATATTATTTTTCTGTAATTAATATAAACGTGCTCATTGTATGAGTGTCAGTTCAAAAATTGATTAAAAATTCTCATATACTTGGTGACAAATATAAATAGATTATCAGCAAATTAAGCTCTCATAAAGCATTTAAGATGATTTTCCAATGACATGTCCTTATATTTAAAAGGTTGAATTGTTATATATTAAACTGTCGTACATATTAAATATATATTAAGAAAAATTATTTTTCATAAATAACGTACACTAATATTTTTTTTCCTATATTCTTTTGTATGTAGATTTGCAATAATTGTGCTAATGATATGAAATTTTTGCATACAACAATAGTGGGTAATTTTATTTTGGTATGAAATGTCTAAATTTAAATGGTATGAAATTTATTTGGTATATATCTGGTATGTATAGAAGTCTTATTCTATAAAGGCTTGATGTAATTAACCTCAGATTCTAAGAACTAGTATTTGAAAATTTTTAAAACAAAATAAACGGTATGAATTTTATTTGGGATGAGTCTAATTTTAGGTTGATTTGTTATAAAATCAAGGTGATAAATCATCAAATTTTAGCATATTATCTTAATAACTTGAGATATTGATGACAATTCGACAAATTGGTATGTATTCATCTTGAAAATCAGAAAGATCTTGGAACTAATATTGATTAATAAAATTTAAAATATGTAATTTAATTATAGAGAATTAGTTAATAAATTTGAAGGATAAGGTAACCGACAACAAATCCAAAAAATTGCGAGATAATATGTGTATATATAATAAGAAAATTTATTGTGTAGTCCAAATTTGGGTTACAAATTTAATAGTCAAATAAATAATTGCTCATAATTTACGGGTTAATATTAACTTAGACGTAAATGGAATAGTCAATTGTTTGATAAATGGAATAGTCAATTGTTTGATAAATTACTTCAACTTCATCAATAACCACTTCATTCAGGGCCGGCCCTGACATTTTTGGGGCCCATGGAGAAAATTCGGTAAGAGACCCTTTCTTCAACACATACATTTAATTAAAGTGAAAAATAATAATAGACAAACACATAAAAAAAGAGTCTGGGAATCAAACAATGAAAATAAAACACCAAAATTATAAAATATAATCGAGAAATATAACCTGATTTATGCCTTGGATAATGATCTTCAAACCCAAAAAACCCTAATAATTGTAGTAGGTCTCTCGGTTGTGTGTTTCACTTTCGTGAATAAATAGAAGAATCAATTGAAGACTGAAAAGAAAGGCTTAATCGTCGAAGTCGTTGCTTCAAATTGTTTATCGCTACACTCAAAAAATTTTCCGTCCGTTAGAAAGTACAACTTGGAAATAGATGTAAGGAAAAAGAAAAGCAAAGCACGGTGCTATAAAGATGGAGAGGAGTATAGTGCACAATGGTGTTTACGAGACGGATATTATATTTGTCTTCATTCCTAAGTATCCTTGTTGTCATCTTAGCCTACCACCTTTATACTTTTTTTTTTTCTTTACCTATCATCTTTATCTGAGCATAGGAAGTTGTGTGGAAATGTTAGATGAGGAATATTGATGGAAACATTATTTTGATATTCTCTCCACTTGCCTTTCCCGTTGCTTCCAATTCCAAAAGGAAAAGTGACTTTGATTTTTTTTTTAATTGCTTATGATTATTTTCTTATATGTTTTTGGGCTTGGGCCAATGAAAGCTAATTTTTTTGTGGGCTTTTTAATTGGTAGAAAAATTCACTAATAAAAATCCATACAGATATATATTATACATAATGTATATATAAATTTGGAGCCCCAAATATTTGTGGGCCCATGGCCAATGCCCACTTTAACATTAGTCAGGGCCGGCCCTGCTTCATTGAGTCTTCCCGTAAGTCCCTATTCGTACTTGTGTTGGGATTGATTTTCATTCCCAATATTACTATTTGTGCTCATCTTGATAGCCATGAAATCTCACTAAACACCAAATTGGATCATCCGCCAATTATTTCTCAACATTATCTTTCTACCAACGATGTTGTGAACGAAGCATACAATAAAGAACCTTTTGACAACAAGGCTTATGACGTGCCGGTTAAAAACACTCCGCAAACACATAGGACAACACGCACACCTCGGGAATCTTTAACCAATGCTCGAACAAGATCAAATATACCTAAGGGTCCACGCACACCTCTAGATCAACATGTAGTTTCGCCCATAACCCCAACCTATTAAACTTCACGAAGTTAGAATACACCTTAACAAACTATATATTTTCCACTTCTTAGTATGACTTGTTAACAGTAACAAGTTACTGAGTTAATGGGAATTTACATTCATCACAATATTTTCTTAAAATTTTTCTATTATTTTCATCTAATAGTTAATAGTAAAAAAGACTTTCAAAAGCGAAAAACTATGAAAATATTTGTTATAATTAATCATTATTAATATTATAAAAATAATAAAACGTTAAATATGTCATCTACAAACGTGATAAACGGGGATTGATGGGTACGGTCCCACCAACGAAACGCACCAAATCAAGGAAGCCCAAATGAAGCCCAAGTGAGGTTACATCCCAAAACTAATTAGTGGAAGGAGGAGTAGTCCACTAGGCTTATAAGTTAGACCAGTTTTCCCTGTATAACCATGTGGGAAAACTCACAAGTGTATATTCTAACATCCCCTCACTTGTGAGTCTTTCGGAAGCCCAAGCCCAACTAGGCTGGGTGACGTGTACGTCATTGCACGGTCTCACGAAGGCCCAAACCCAACTGGGATGGGTGAACCGGCTCTGATACCATGACAAACGGAGGTTGACGGGTGCGGTCGCACGGACGAAGCGTACCAAATCAGGGAAGCCCAAATAAAGCCCAACCGAAGTTTTATCCCAAAACCAATTGGTGGAATGAAGAGTAACCAAACCCACTAGGCTTATAAGTTAGCCTATTTTCCATGTATAGACCATATGGGACAACTCACAAGTGTATATTCTAACAAAACTTTTAAAGTTGACGTGGATCGTTTCCGTATTATTGGTCACAATATTAATTAATCCGGTCATTTGAGCGATTACAAAATTAAGTCATTAATAAAATGGTTATATATCATACATATACTTATTTTTTTCAGTCTTTTCTTAAAGTAAGATAAATAAATATTTATGTGCGAATTTTATACTTCATAATTATTCAAAACATTTGGTCATATTAAGTCAATGTTGTATAATTGGTCATAATTAGTATTGGCGAATTTAATATAAATATATGTTTAATACTTTCCATAAGATACAGTATTTCTGAAATTAATTTTAATTTGAAAATTCATTTTATGCTGATAATTGTTTCTAAAAGTGGATTTCTCCACATTTAACAACAAAGCCACTAACTTGATCATGTCTCTTAGGATATAATGAACTGATAAAAGCTGAAAAAACGCAAATGCATTGCACATAAACGACCATCTCAAATCCCAATGCTCACCCTGCAACCTTGGCTGTCGGTTTCGGCGGCGTCTGTCCCACGATCCCGTCAGTCCCCGCCAGTGCCCTATACTTATCCTTCCTCGTAAGCTTGGTGCATTTGTAGTTCAAATTCTTGGCAATCTTTTGCTGGACATGGTTCGCCACCTCGTAGCTCGACTTCCCGGCCACGCACGTCTCCTCCGGTGGCAGCTTCTCCAGGAACGTCACCTCATACTTAGGCACCGGGTTCATGAAGAAGAAGAAAGGATCGAGCCACTTGTACCCTCGTGCCGTGGTCCCGTGGAAAAGGCTCGTCCTCACCCTTATGGCCACGGGCACGATCTCGTCCGTGAGCTCCGCAAAGAGCGACGAGAACCGGAGGAGATACGGCTCGCGGCACGTGGTCCCCTCCGGGCACATCACAAGGTCCCGCCCTTCTCGGAGGATGGTCTCGATGAGACGGGCGTCGAGGGCCCGGTCCCGCGTGAGACGGGCCGTCTTGATGGGGGAGAGGAACTCGGTGAAGCCCGGAACCGAGTAGGAGATTGTAGTAGTCATGCGGCCTAGGGCGGCCGACACGTAGATGGCGTCCAAGACCGTGCGGTGGGAGCACACGAACACTACCCCCTTTTTCCTACCGCTGGTGGGCCCGAGTTTTGGAGGAGTGCCTTTGACGGCCGTGGTGGAGCCGAGGAGAGCCGAGACGGATTTGAACCAGGTGAGGGGGCAGAAGGAGCCGATGAAGACGCGGGTGATGGAAAGGAGAAGGCCGATCGGGAACCAGAGGACGATGAGGAGCGCGAGGAGTGGGGTCGGTTTCTGGACGAGACGGCCGTCGTGGAAGATCACGGGCTTCGGGAGGGATTCGGGCTGAACGGGTTGTACCCTTGGCCTTGGTGGGACTATGTATCTTTCCTGGAACAAATATCACATCATAGTGTAACTAAACTAGCTAACAATACGTGTTTGTATATGAAATATCTCAATCTTAAAATCTAATCAATTTTAATTCAACGTCATTATCCTCAGTATTATCAATATAATTAAATAATACCAACCAATCATTCTTACGCATCACATCAACTTTAATTTACTTTTCATCCACTCACATAATTTTAACTAACTATCACTTCATATTATCTCTTTCCTACTTTTATATCAAATCAATTTTAATTATTTTGTTTTAAATATTATTTTAATATAAAATAAAAAACGTACGAACAACTAACCATACCATTTTTTTTCAAAATTAACTTTGGTTAATAAAAAAAAAGCTCATTTTTAGCAGATATATTTTTGTATACAAACAATCATGTGCAAAGAATTCACACTAATAGTCTATTCAATCTCTCTAGAATTTTGAAATCTGGTTTAAATTTGAAAGTATTCTAACCTTATGTTGTGTATATATGCACTTAGTGATTTAGTGTGCGTGTATATGTGCCCATTAAACTGATTATTTAGAGATAAACACAATCTCTAAAATTCATACCTTGCACAGCTTCATGAAAGGGAAATCTGTTTTCCGGTCTCCGATCCCCACGTCCGGGACATGCTCACAGCTCCCGAACACCCTCCTCACGGCCAAAGCCTTGTTCTTCCCGACGAGCACTCCGGGCCCCGCCACAAGCCCCGTAGCATAACCCCTCCACGTGGACACTTCCGTGCCCAGCACCACATCAACCCCGAGATAGTTCTTGAGGAAGGGCTCCACCATTATCCTTGGATTGGCCGTGACAACACACTTCTTCCCGCACGATGAGAACACGCGCCACGTGTCCGGGTGCAAGTCCTCCGAGTAGAATTTGGGCAGCACGGCGCTGGCTGCTGACTTGATGGCGGACAGCTTGGCGCCAGCGAAGGCTGCAAAGGTGAGGACACGGATACCAGCGGCCTCTGATACAAAGTGGTAGAGGAAGGCCGCGAGGGGTGAGAGGAGTAGAAGGAAAAGGAGACGTAAAATGCCGCCCAAATCGAAGGCGACGAGGGCAAAGTATCCGAATGAGCTGCGGCCGATGAGGAGTGTGCCGTCCAGATCGGATATTACGGTTTGGTCCTCACGGCCCTTGGGGTCGCATTGGGAGATTGTGGGGATTTTCGCCATTTTTTTTTGGTGTTGAATTTTTCTGTGGATGGGGGGGTATACTTGGGGAGACTGGGTTTATAATATTACAAGTTAAGAATGGACTAGCTGGAATATACATACATTATCTTGANAGTGGGGTTTTTACATGCAATTGGTAAATAATATGTAGATACGGCTACGTCTAGTTGAGTTGAGACGCTTGATTTGGTTAGGCACAGTGTGTGGGGTATGGAAGGTAATTATAATTTTAAGTCGGCCGGACCGACCTAGGATTTCTGATTAGGGAAGAACATATATTAAGCTAGAGTTTCAAACATGCAACCAGATTATTTGCTAGTTATTCAACTTTAATTTCTGTAGTTTCTTCCATAAATAAATTGAATTTGAGCTCAAAATAGGTTCCATTTAATGACAACAGTTGAAAATTTTGACAAATATGCGAAAAACAATTCGTTTCACTCCAAAACATTGTCATGTAGATATACCAGAGCCCCAATCTATCATTATATTAAAATATTAACAATTTAACACTTTTAGCAAGTTTTTCCCGCCAAATACATTTAATGTCTCCTAAAAATAGAGCAACATTAAATGTTGCCCTTAAATCATGGCAATTGTTAATTTAGTTTGGAGAAAATCGTGGCAACTAAAACAAACAACATTAATTACAGCTGATTTAATATTTAAATGGTAAACAAATATTACTTTTTTATGACTGATTTAAATTTACGTCTGTTTAAAAGTAAAAAACTACTTTTATAATTTCAACAAATTTGTACTCTTTACTGTACGACTGATTTAAAATTAAGAATTTACTTTTGTATTTTCACAAAAAACCGTATAAAGAAGTATGGCTGGAATAATAATAAAAAATTAATTGTTAAACCATATTTTGCACTCATAGATACGAATTCTCATCAAATTCAAGATTTAAAATTGTGAAAAATGTATATAGATGTGGACTGATTGAAGATATATGATTTCTTAAATAAAAGAATTTTTTCCGGTAAAAAAAAATATAAACTTTAAATATAGATTTTATTAGTAGTGTATACCAAAGAATATTGTTACATTTAAAATTTCTATGAAGAAGAATTCTATTAATTTTCAAATTCAACATCTCATAAAAATAATATAATACATTTTTACATTCTATGAAACAATATTTAAAACCCACCGTTCAACATGCATAAAATGTAAATTACCTAACATGAATCATTTTAACTTTCTAAAATCAGTACACAATTTGCTCGATATGTACTAATAGTCTAATAGTTAAGAGTTAATATTTGCTATGACATCTATTGGTTGGAAAGAATTCCATTTTGTATGGAATGCGAAATGAAAAAACATATTCTGAAAATCAAATCTGGTTTAAAGATCGATTTCTTAATGGCCTTAAATTATGCAAATATATTGTTTCAGTTTTTAGGATTCTTTTTTATGATCTCAGTCTTTGCATTATATGAAATCTATACTTATATAAAAAATCATCCTATTTACTAGAAATATTAGGCAGAAAAGTCAAAGGTAATTAATGCTTGCTGGAAATAGAATGATATTAATTACAGATTTGTTTTGGTATTTATAGGCTTGACATTAAAGATTTGTTATGGGATAAAAATCAGAACCCATTTTCTTACCTTTGCTGGAAAAGACAAAGGTAAGTATAGATTTGTTTTATCCTATAGCATCGGTTTAGTTAAGAAAATCTCATCAAATCAGTTTTATATGTCAAGCCTATGAATAAAGATTTAGTCGGTCAAAATTAAATCCTTATTTTACGTCAACCATAAATAAAGTAGATGTCAAGCCTAAATTGAAGGGTTTAGTTGTCTATATAGTCATTGATTTACGTAAATACACCTAATGTTTAAAGTTTGTGTAGATTGAAAATTCCTTCTTATCTTTTTACAAAAAATCTTATTATTATTGTATGAAAAATCAAACTCATAATGTTGTGTACAAGGTGGTCTTTAATAATATATGATTGTTTGTTTGTCGAATACTATCTTATTGTAATTTTCCTGCGTATTATAAAACTTTTATTTAATATTGCATCTTATTATATAGTATTCCTCAAATAAATATATCCCGTGCTTCGCACGGGTCACGTACTATATATATCCCGTACATTTTTCTGTATTCATGTATATAATTATAAGTCTGGATAAATAGTCTTAAAATTGTGCACCCCGTGCATCGCACGGGCTCTGTACTAGTATATAGATACAAGAGAAGACCCTAAAATAAGATAAACTAAATCTCTAAGATACCAAAATCTATCTATACCAAAAATACAATATTCACAAAATCACTCTAACACCCCCCCTCAAGTTGGAGCATGCGGATTCCGGATGCCCAACTTGCCAAGAAAAAAATCAAACTCGCGTTTTCCCAAGGCCTTGGTGAAGATGTCCGCCAATTGAGAATGAGTGGAAACATGAGAGGTAGAAATGAGACCTTGAACGAGAGCATCACGAAGAAAATGGTAGTCAACTTCAATGTGTTTGGTGCGCTCATGAAAGACTGGATTAGCGGCAATATGTAGCGCCGCTTGACTGTCACAATGAATCTGCATCGGCTGAGAATGAGCCACACCAAGACTGCGAAGTAAACCCCGTAACCATTTCAACTCGCAAGTAAGCGTCGCCATAGCACGATACTCAACCTCGGCAGAAGAGCGAGCAACCGTTTGCTGCTTTTTAGTACGCCATGATATTGGAGAATGGCTAAGTTGGACGAACCAACCAGCGAGAGACCGTCGAGTAGTAGGGCATGTTACCCAATCGGAGTCACACCAACCATAGACCTGTAAGTCACAATCAGACCGAAGAACAATACCCTGGCCCGGAGTACCCTTCAAATAACGTACCACACGAGTGGCAGCATCCCAGTGTGCCTGACGAGGCTGATGCATAAACTGAGAGAGCATGTGTACAACATAAGACAAATCAGGACGAGCGACAACTAAATAAATCAAACGGCCGACTAGCCGTCGATATCGCTCAGGATCAAAAAACAACGGACCATCGTCTAATGGAAGCTGGTGATTCTGCTCCATATGAAAATTAGCAGGCTTGCCACCAAGCAAACCAGCTTCGACAACTATGCCAAGAGTGTATTTCTGCTGACACAGAAATAAGCCAGAGGAATTCCGAGCAACCTCAATGCCCAAAAAATATTTCAGGACTCCCAAATCGTTCATATGAAAACAACGACCCAAGTACTTCTTAAAGGCAGTAATAGAAGCCGGATCGCTTCTAGAAATGATGAGATCATCGACATAAACCAGGACATGCAAGTACATAGAATCTCGATGTAGTGTGAAAAGGGAGTAATCAGAATAAGACTGCTCAAAACCATAATGTTTAAGAACAGTAGCAAGCTTTGCAAACCAACAACGAGGAGCTTGCTTTAAACCATACAGAGATCAGCGTAATCGACACACCTTACCAGGATCAGGCGAATGAAAACCAGGAGGAAGTTTCATGTAGACCTCCTCAGATAGATCCCCATGCAAGAACGCATTGTGCACGTCCATCTGATGAACCTCCCAATGTCGAGCAGCTGCAACAGCATGAAAAGTCGGTACAGTAACCATCTTGGCAACAGGTGCAAATGTCTCCTGATAGTCAATGCCCTCCACATGTCGGTTACCCAAGACAACCAAACGCGCCTTGTAGCGCTCAACAGAACCATCAGAGTTATATTTAATCTTATAAATCTACTTACAATCGATCGCGTGTTTTCCAGTAGAAAGAGAAATAATATCCAACGTACGGTTCGATTCCAATGCTCGAATCTCCAGTTGCATAGCTGAACGCCAGCGACTATCTTGAACAGCCTCATAAAAGGTCTGAGGCTCAACAATAGAAGAAATGGCTGCCAGAAATGACTGGTGTGCAGGTGAAAATGAATCACAAGAAACATAGTGTGCGAGAGGGTAAGGAGTACCAAATGATGATGCGATAAAGGAGGCAGAGTGGGGGGATGAGGAACAAATAGTATGAGAGACAAAGTCGGCAAGACGAGAAGATGGTCTTTTGAGACGATGAACACGACCCAACACTTCCTCTTGGGAAGGATTACCCTCCCTATCGACAATGACCTCAGAACCCCCAGTGGCAGCAGTACACGTGGTAGTGGGAACCACCACATCATCATCGTCGTCAGAGACAGTAGGCCATGGAACCACTGGTACAGAGGCAGTATCAAGAGCAGGAGACGTCAAATAAGGGAACTCTGATTCACAGAATTTCACATCACGTGAGACCAGAAAAGTGCGGTTGTCCAAATCATAAACACACCACCCCTTTTGGCCAGATGAATAGCCAACAAAAACACATCGGCGACTCCGACTTCCAAACTTGTCACCATCCCTGTTCTGATTGTGCACATAACACAGACAGCCAAAAATACGTAAATGCGCATAGTTGGGAGGTTTGCCATACAAAAGTTCATAGGGAATCTTTCCGAATAAAAGAGGAGTAGGCATTCGATTAATCAAATAGCCAGCAGCAGGTACACAATGTCCCCAGAACTCAATCGGTAAATTGGCCTGAAAGCGTAATGCTCGAGCAACATTAAGAATGTGCTGATGTTTGCGCTCAGCACGTCCATTTTGTTGAGGAGTTCCAATACAAGAAGTTTCATGAACAATCCCCTATTGACGGAAATAATCGCGCACACGAGTAAATCAGTTCCATTGTCACTGCGAAGAGTTTTAACCAACACGCCAAATTGCCTTTTTATAAAAGCAAAAAATTGCAGTAGAGTAGAAGACACTGAAGATTTGTCATCCAACAAGAAATTCCAAGTACCTCGAGAATAGTCGTCAACAATAGTCAAAAAGTATCGAGCACCACTAAAGGCAGGAACTCTATAAGGTCCCCACACATCACAATGAATCAAACTGAAAATGGAACTGCTAATGCTGCGACTAAGAGGAAAGCTAGCACGAGATTGCTTTGCCCGACAGCAAACATCACAAGCTTTATTCGAGACCAAAGAAGGAGATTCGACAAAAGGCAATTGACCAAGAACAGTAGAAGATGGATGACCCATCTGCTGGTGCCACAAGTGTTGCATAACTGAAGACACCCGAGAAGCATTGGCAGTGATCGCCCCTCGGAAAAAATAGAGTCCCCCTAACTGCTCACCCGCACCAATCACTCTCCTCGAAGTGAGATCCTGAATAGCACAATATTTACTAGTGAAGGTAGTAGGGGTGTTCACGGTCCGGTTTTAACCGGAAAAAACCGTCAATCCGGACCGCGGATCGGTTAAATGGTCAGTTAAAAAAGCCTTAAAAAATCCGGTGGTTAATTTTTTTAAAAATCCGGAATAACCGGTCCGGTTAACAGATTACCTGCGGCAAACCGCCGATTTAACCGGACCGGACCGATAAATATTAAAAAACTATAACATATATATATATATATATATATATATATATATACATTCATTCATTCACTATGGCCGACAAATACAATACATTCACTATGAATGCTTTGCTCTTATTATTTCAGGTGTATAAACTGACTGAAAAATGAATGTTTGCTTGAGTTCAGTTTGCATAATTAATCTTCATCATTTTTTTATTTTTATGTTTATGGGAGGAAATGTGCATTTTTATGCTTATGAGATGAATTGTGTACTTTTTATTTCATTATTGTTGTTTTTCTTAATTTTTAAGCCCAAATAATCTCTTTAGGACCCAAAATTGAAAAACAAAAATTAAGCCCAAAAAGAAAAAAAATAAAAATTGAAGGCCCAAAACAAGTTTTGGATTTAACCGGTTAACCGCCAAACCGGACCGTCCAATGCGGTCCGGATTGTGGTCGGTTGAAAAATAAAACCGGTCCGGTTATGGACAAGCCGTTAGGTCCGGTTTGGTCATGGTTTGGGCTAAAACCGGACCAATCCGGACCGTGAACACCCCTAGAAGGTAGCAACACAACCAGATTGTTCCAACAACCGAGATAAAGATATCAAGCTGCACTGAAGACTGTCAACGAACAAAACATCATATAAAATAATACGAGAACCGAGATGAACTGTTCCAGCTTTACACGCAGTGGTGAGCGTGCCATTAGGTAACTGCACAGACCGGGACGGAATATCCCGAATATCAAAAAAAAATTCCAAGTAGCCCGTCATATGATGTGAAGCACTGCTATCATACATCCACTCATAAGGACTACGCTTACCGGATAAATGAGCATTGTTGCGGGCAGAAGTGACGAGGTGTACAATAGACTCCCATTGGGCATTAGTCAACCCAGAAATACCCGCCCTATCGGAGTCCGTCAATGAGGATGTTGGCCCGCCATGTATGGAGCCAGAGGTACTAAGTGCAGCCCCGTTAGCGAAGGCGGCGTTGACAAGGCCGACAACGGCTGGTCCGTCACTGCGTCTGCCACGACCAACTCGTCCCCCGGCGTGAACAACGGATCCTCCATTACGCGATTCCCCCATAATTCAAGCCTGGAACAATT